CAGCTTGGTGCTCAGCAGCCCACGACCTTGAATGCTGAAAACCTCTAAGACATCCTGGACAATGGCCCAGACTCTCTGTCGGCTCGCCGTCGACAGCTTCTGCTTCTCTGCATGGCCCACAAGCCTTGCAAATGCAGTCCGTGCTGTCTGATCGACCAGCACCTCGGTCTACTGAGTTCAGCTGGTTGAAGCACTGAGCCCTTCCCTGAAATCTTAAACCCTCAAAACTTAGAACCCTCCTGAACCATGACGCATGCAGCCGAGCAGCCTAGCATCTTGCCTGCCCTCGCAACGCTAGCGACGACCCATGATCCCGGTATAAGGGAGTTTTGCCGGAGCGAGGCTCGGGTTTAGAGTTCAAGTTTTAGGTTTTTCTTTTTCAATGCTTGCCATGCGCTGCCAACTGTTGCCTGAAACATCAGGAGAAGGTATCGGTCCTTAGTATCGGGTTCAGGGTTTCAGGTTCAGAGTCTATAGAAGCTTTTACCTTCGGCCGGCGTGGGTGCAAGAGGGCCAGCGGCTGCGGAAAGAAAGCGACGCTGGACTGTGTACCCTGTACAATCCCAGGGCCCATACTTAGGGTTTGGGGTTTAGGGTTTAGGATTTAGGGCTTAGGGTTTAGGGGACCTTCTGTGTGAGCGACATCATGGGCCCAAGCTTTTTGGCACCCTAATCTTTCCAGGTCGGAGACTCCACTGGCCCATTTTTTGGCAGGCTCTCCAATTTAGGGTCCCTTTGTGGGGCTCTTTTATATTACGAGCCCTTATGTATAGCACACACAACGAGGGTCTAAACCCTAAACTCTATTAGAGTTTGGGGGCGAAATGAGAAACCACCCGTTGAGATCCCCTCGAAGCTTTGTGGGCCATAAGCCCTGAGTTGCGAGGACCCAGAAATAAATTAAAGTTTAGGGTTTAGGGCTTAGGGCTTAGGGTTTAGGCCCAGACCTTTTATGGAAACTGAGGCTGCTGCTACATAGGAGGCCACGTTCTTGGCCTGCGAGGGGAGTGGTTCTAGACCGGTTTAGGGTTTAGGGGGTTTGGGGTTTGGGGAAGGAGGATCCTTGTTTAGAAGGGGGCAGTGAACAAGCTGAGGCCTGAATGCATGTCCAACAAGCCCCCTGAACCCTGAAACCTCATCCCTAAAACCCTGAAACCCCTAGATCCAAAAACCCTTAAAACCCTAAACCCTAAACCCTAGGTGCATTGAGTCTCTGAGAACATGGACCCCCTCGAACCGAGAACCCTAAACCCTAAAACCCTAAAACCCTAAACCCTAAACCCGAAACCCTAAACCCTAAAACCCTAAACCCGAAACCCTAAACCCTAAACCCGAAAACCCTGAACCCTAAACCCAAAACCCTAAACCCAAAACCCAAGGTGGCGTATTAGGGGCATGCTGAGACCGAGCTGCGGGTTGGTTTGGGGCGTTTTCGGATTGGATTTAGGATTTAGGGTTTAGGGTTTAGGGTTTAGGGTTCAGGGTTTAGGGTTTTGGGTTTAGGGTTTAGGGTTTAGGGTTCAGGGTTTAGGGTTTTGGGTTTTGGGTTTAGGGTTTAGGGTTTAGGGTTTCGGGCTGAGGGGGGTCCTGGTTTTTAGGGTTTAGGGATTAGGGTAGGGGCGGGGGGGGGGGTGTCCAAGTCCTCAGAGATTCAATACAATAGGGCTTAGGGCTTTTAGGGTTTAGGGTTTTAGGGTTTTAGGGTTTTCGGGTTTTAGAGTTTACGGTTTTAGGGTTTTTAGGGTTTGCGGGTATTGCAGGGTTTCTGGGGCTTGTACGGTTTGCAGGGTCCTAGGCCTCTAGGGTTTTAGGGGTGTAGGCTTGTCTAGACCCGGGAGTAACCTAGGAATAAAAACGGTGCCCCTTTTGGTTTTAAGGGGATTATAAGGGAACCCCAAACCTAAAAATTGGAAAAACGGGCCTACTCCCGGTCCCAGTAGCCCTAAAACCCTAAACCCTAAACCCTACCCTAAACCCTGTTGAAGTCGGGTTTTAGGGTTTGAGGGCTTCGAGGCTCATAACCCGCCTGCTTGTGTGGCACTGCGATGTCGAGGCCTGACTTTTTGTTGCTTACGAAGTTGGTAGGGTTTCGGGTTTCGGGTTTCGGGTTTAGGGTTTAGGGTTTAGGGCTTAGGGCTTAGGGCTTAGGGCTTAGGGCTTCGGGCTTCGGGCTTAGGGCTTAGGGCTTAGGGTTTAGGGTGGATAAGGCTGACAAACCATCCAGACTCCGGCTTCGGGGGCTTACGGGATTAGGGTTGTTAAGGGCGTAGGGTGTACCTACTGGCCCGTGGTGGAGAATGAGAGAACTGGGCGGTCTCGGCAGCTTCCTCTGCAGCTGGGACTTCTGGCGGAGCCAGAGCACCGCTGCCTCAGAAAGATCCTCCCCCTCTGCTGGTGGAAGCACGGGGACTGCCGCCTCCTCGTCGCCTCCGGATCCCGCCATAGCCAGCATGTCCCACCAGATAAAGCTCCAGCAAAGGATCTGAAAAAACCAGACCATGGCTGCAGCGTTTCTGGGCTCGAGCTGGCGTTGTCGTGCCTGCGGTTGTGCGCTACCTGAAGGTCGGCTAGTGGGGCCTCTCAGGTGTGCTCTAGCTCTTGGCTGTGGTGCTGGCACCTAAAAACCCCGCTATGCCCCCGGCTATGCTAGGCACCTTCTATACCCCTATGTGATTTTTTGTATAATAAAAACATATATACATATGTATACCCTTGAAGGGATTTTAGAGGTCGTTGGGGGCTGCAGGCTTTCAGCTTCTGCGGGGGCTTAGGGCCTCGAAAACCAAGGTTTCGGGTCTTTGAGGGTCATGCAGATTGAGGCTTTGGGAGCTTCGGCGGAAGCAGCTCGAAAAACAATCAGCTCGACGCCCCCCCCCCCCAAAAAAAAAACACTCCCTAAATCTGAGCTCAGGCGAAGTTTCCGGGGTTTGAAACCCTAAGCCCTAAACCCTAAAACCTCAATACCTGAAAGCCCCAAAGCCGTAGAACCCAGGAGCAAAACCCTAAACCCCAAACCCTAAACCCTAAACCCTAAACCCTGCATCAGGGCGCGGCCAAGGCCCACATGGACGAGGAGGAGCAGTCTCGGGGGCAGGCGGCAGATGGAAGTGCGTTGAAGGCCCAGGGGTCTCTAAAATCCTAATCCGTAAACCCTAAGAGCCCTAAAGCAAGCACTAAAATCCTAAATCCCTAAACCCAAAAGCAGATATGGACGCAACCCCCTGAACCGTAAAATCGGCCCTGTAGAACCCTAGACCGAAACCACGCAGAAAGTTCTGGACTACACCCTCCCCCCCCCCTCCCACCCACCCACCCGAAAGTACCCATCATGCTCATCATCGTCATCATCATCACCATCATCAGCACGATGCCCCGCATCCGTAAGTTGGGGGGTCGCCGGCCATCGTTCTAGCTGCCGGCTTGGAGGCCAGCCTTACACACTTTGAACCCAGCCCCGTCAGCCCTAGACTCTAAACCCAAGCCCTTCGGCCCTTACAGCCCCAAAAGGAAAAGCCTCAACCCGAAACCCGACAAGCAAAGCCCTTAAAGCAAAGCCCGAAGCCCCCCGAAGCCGCAAACACCTCATGGAGGGCATGTGGGCTCATGGCTTTTTGTTCGGTAATATTGGATGGTAGCCTCAACTGGAAGTCTAAACCCGGGGCGCGTGGCAGAAGGGAAACAAGCTATGGCGCAGCTGGCCCAGACCGAAACCGTCCAAAATCTTCCAGGCGTCCCCTAAAGTGGAAGCGGGCTCAGGGTTCAAGGCTTGTGGCTTCGGACGCCGCGTTTACGGCTAAACCCCAAACCCTAAACCCTAAACCCTTAGGGTTTAGGACTCTGAGCCGTGCAGGCAGGCGGCCGAATGAACGAATAGCAGCCAATGTTCACTACCGTATCCTGTCACAGGCGCAAGGGCCCCAGTTGCTTCCGGGTAGGGTGCATTATCTCCCAAGTGGTATGCAGGCAGCGATGGTTCAAAAAAACACGAAATCAGGGCGTTAGGGAAGCTATTCGGAACGGTCGTTTTAGGGGTAAGGAGTTGCAGGTACTTCCGAACTCCTGGGTTTAGCACCCGGGGTACGCGGTTGAGGGTTCAGGGTTTACGGTGGGTCTTAGGCTTTTGGTAAGGGGCTTAGGGATTGGCACAAAACGTCCTTCAAGTGGCGCAGGGACGTTTCAAGAAAGGTTCAGGAGAACATGTCTCGGCAAATCCGGTGTCCCTAAACCCTAAACCCAAACCTCGAAACCCGAAACCCTAAACCCTACACCCTACTTATACCCATGAATCTCCAAGTGCGCAGACCATCGCGACAGGGCCCCTAGACGCCGAACCCTAATCCCCCTTTTCGTGGTCCCCCAAAACCAAAGGATCCCAGACCTAAACCCTAAGTCCTAAACCCTAAACCCTAATCCCTGGACCCTAAACCCTAAACCCTAAGCCCAAAATCCCAAATCCTAAACCCATGTGCCAAGTTACCAAAGCCAGGACACTGGGGCGCTAGGGGCTTCATGTCGCTTTAGGATGTAGCTGGGCAGGATCTCTGAATCGGGGGTACTCTGCCCAACCCGTAAACCCCAAACCCTAACTCCTAACTCCTAAACCCTAAACCCTAAACCCTAAACCCTAAACCCTAAACCCTAAACCTAAACCCTAAACCCTAAACCCTATACCCCGCACCTTTGCAGCCCCCATAGAAGCTGAAGGCCGTTTGGCTAAGGATCTTGAGCCAAAGCTGCGATTATATTCAAGGTCCAGACTTCGGTTTTGGGTCCATGCTTCGGTTTTTTGGGGTGTTAGGGTTTAGGGTTTAGGGTTTAGGGTTTACGGTTTACGGTTTACGGTTTAGGGTTTAGGGTTTAGGGTTTACGGTTTAGGGCTTAGGGTTTAGGGTTTAGGGCTTTGTCTAAGCCCCTTTGCGGCAGAGGACCGCCATTCAGTCCTAGAGTCTATTAGCCGACATTCCGCAACCCTATCCCCTAAACACTAAACCATCAGTCTA